TGCTGTTTCACCAAGAAGATATTCCAAACAATGATGCAACAGAACCACTGCATGACTTGACAGACACACTGGTGTTTTGTTACTGAATAAATCTGAATTTTTGAACCAATCAGTTGTGTAAATGATTCAATAAGGATAATGAACTGGTAGAATGAATGACTCAGTGACTCACTCATAAATACAGTGACTTGTTGCCACCTTCTGGCGGTTTTGATTTTATACACAAATGTATCATCATTTTTTTTTTAATTTTATATTTAAACAAATCTCATTGTATTATTTATGCAATTGTAATCACAGTGTAAATGCATTCATGTCTCTGCTATCATCACTACATTCTACCTCACATTCTATCCCATAATCCATCACCTACCTTACCTTAAGTGGACCTTGGTGAAATAGGGTGGACCTCAGAGCCTACTCTCAAGTAGGCCTACATCATTTTAAAATACGTGAGATAAAAATAGGGAAGCTAATTTCGACAGCTAAAAACAGCATTATCAGTTTTTGCTTGAAATAGAAAAAGGACAAAAATATAAGCTAAAAATATATATAAATATATAAATAAAATTGTGATTTCACTTGAAATTGCGAACTGTTAAGCATCATACATTCCTGATTCAGAGAAGCCCAAACACAACATAACACAACGTGTAGATCTAGAGATAAACCTCACAGAGTGACATTACATGCTTCTTTGCTAAAGCTACAGGACACCCGGGATCACGTTGTGATGATGATGATGATGCGATGTTTTGCAAAGTCATTTAGAAATGTCAGAACGTTCAACCAATAGAAACTGGATCTCAGGTATGGTGGGTGGGTATAGTGGGTAGGGACGATGAGTAATCGGGGACTGTTATACAGCCAGAGCGTGCTTGGATTGGATGGAATGCTCAGATTGACAGCCATTGCATTTACCATTTGCCATAGAATAGAAGCGCACAAATGGAAGCTCAGCGTTTATCCACCAGAAACGTATTACTTATTCTTTACATAAAAACACGGGGTGGACCAGCCATCAATCTGAGTGGGTCAGTGCCACCCTTGCGCTTATGTAGCCTCACCACTGCTTTGCATTGTATCCTGTGCAACAGTAGCTGAATTCATTACTATATTTGTCTGAAATATACAGCACCCCACTCAGAGCTCACAGAACAAAGTGAGAGAGTGTGTGGCTGGCTTTTCTGGACAGCATCGTAAGCAGATGAGTCAATCAGCGGTCTGTCATAATCAAAGCCACTGTGTTAGAGAAGAAAATGGTAGTGTCCATAGTAGTCAACTGTCCAAGTCAACTGCTTGTTCACACTATTTTTCTTTCAGCAAATTAATATGTTACATGGAAAGATCAACAAATGTGTTTCCAAAAGCAACACAAAACCCATCTATATTTATGTTCTATTTATGTTCTATATTATATATATATATATATATATATACACAGGGTGGTGATGACACAGGTGAAAGCCAGGGAGAGGCCTTGTGCGGGGGCATGATGGCAGGTGCCCAGGCCACAGCCAGAATGGTGCTCCATGGGAGCGTTGATGGAGGGAGGAGCCAAGGCATGTTAGGAACACACGCCGCCATGGGGACGACTGGAGGCGACGACGGTGATGTACTGTAGGTGGAGCTCACTGTGCAGACAGAGAGCCAAGGATCCAGGCAGCCGTAGCTGTAGCAATGATGGCCCAAGATGTAGGTGGGGATCCGGAGGCCAGAGCGTGAGCTGGAGAGACCCGAGGAAGGAGGCAAAGCCTAAGGGAGGTAGGAGCAGGCCGTAGCCGAAGGGGTGGAGGGCCGAAGAGCAGCGGACTTGCATGCTTGTATGTATGTGTGTTTGATATATAATAATGCCTTATATAAAGCACAAGCTCTGTTGCACCATATGTCAAAGCACTGGCCACAAGGTTATGGCTCCAACAACAATGCCATTTTTATCCTTACAATCTATCCTTAACTTGGTATACAGTAGATGCTTGACCGTGTGTTTTTATTTATGCTAAGGAGGCTAAAGCATGTCTGGTACACCACAGGCATTTTTATTTATGTCAAACGAGGTATAACTAGTGATTGAGTAGGTGCTGGGAAGAGACAATGACAGCAGTGTTTTCTGGGATTAGGTTACTTTCACCACTGAGGCAATCTGAACAGTCCCCAGCTTGGTCAGTGACATTTCCGGCCACGTTTTTTCCTCTGTCCCGCTTTCACGAATCAAACACAGATAAATATGCAAAGCGGCAAGTGAACTACAACAGCCCGACAGGCTTAAAGGGTTAGTTCACCCAAAAATGAAAATTAGGCTGCGTTTTACTCACCCCCGAGGCATCCTAGGTGTATATGACTTTCTTCTTTCAGACGAATCCAGTCGGAGTTATATTAAAAATGGTCTTTGATCTTTCAAGTTGTTTAATGCCACTCAGCTGGTGTTGCATTGCTTCAGTCCAAAAGAACTTAAATAAAAATCGCCCATCCATAAAAAAAAAGTGTCTCACAAGGCTCCGGGGGGTGAACAAAGGCCTTCTGTAGCGAATCGATGATAATCGAAAATATCCATATTCAAAACTAATTTTCATTTTTGGGTGAACTAACCCTTTAAAAGTGGAGGACCTCAATTACCAAATTAAAGTCGGCATGAAGCTGATTGTCTTTTCTTGCCTATTGTTTTTTTACAAGGGTGGGGATATGTTTTAAAAACATTAATTTTACAAAAATAATGATGTGCACAAATAAAAATAAAAAATCGAAACAAATATAAAAACAATCATAAATATTAAAGTTAAATATTAAATAATAAATAAACATTTAAAAAAAATAAGAATTGTCCATTTTGATTTCATGGTCACTTTAACCTCAATTAAACATAGCACATTTTCTGTTAATCTTACTTTGGGTTTTTTGAACCTAGAAGAGTACAAGGCTGGCTGTGCACAAAGGCTATTTCTAAGAAAACAAAAAAGGTCAATTCCAACTTTGCTATGACAATCTGGCGCTTCTGAATCAGCGACTGTAAGTATGTTTTGTTATCAGTTTAAGTATTTGCTATTGACTGTTCAAATGCGGAGTTTTGCGCAGAGTAACGCGACGTGTGTGTGTGTGTGTGAGGGGAACAGGGTCACATCACAGTAGAGACCTGCGCGGGACGGATTTTTCGGATTTTTTTGAGAGGATTCGTGAGCGCAATTTCAGCACTGCGGTGAGTAAATTCTAACTTGATCACCTCTGATTGGCCATTGCGTTCCAGAAATCAACAGCTGAGTCTGTGATTGGCTACATTATAAATGGAAACTAGGCTATGGCCCAATCCCAATTCTACCCCTTAGCCCTTCCCCTTTCCGGGGAAAGGGGAAGGGCTCGATTTTGTCTAGATTCTCTTTTGGTTGTAGGGGTAGGGGTAGGGGAAGGGCTAGATAAACCGGCTTCAGCGGCAACATGGCTGCCTTACAAATAAATGTAAGCATTTTTAGCATTACTAAAGATTTTAACGAAAAGTAATCATTTGTTTTATGTTACATTCAATCGTGAGTTCATATTTACGGTCATGTTACTCAAAGAAATGGTAGCAAAAAATCGCTAATATTTGCTAACTAACGTCATATCATTATAGACTGCATGATAGTGCCACAGCTATGTCTAGCTTGCGCGTTAATCATTTTAATGTTAATATTAGTTGTTCTTTTTGCTTTAGTGCAACAGATAAATAACAATTTATATGTTTTAGACACTTTATGTTTAGATAATTTCTATTTTGCGGAAGTCCTGCGAATCATTTTATTCTCCGGCATCCAGCACACACACACGAGTCTCTTCCCGCCCGCAAGAGTTGTCCCGCGCCGCACCCTGTTGCGTTGGGTCCCGCGGGAGGGCAGGTCTCTACATCA